TCGAGGCGAGAACAGAAGCGTTTCACCGTTAGACGAAGCCCGATCCTCCGTCGACATCTACCGTGACACCCCGGTGACGCTTCGTCGTGCCCCGACGGCGTTCGCACGACCCCGCTTCGTTGCGGGTCCGATTCCAGAATCGGGGCTAAAAGGAACAATCTTCTTTCTGCCGTAATGAGTCTACGTTAAGAGCATCGATGCCTGGAGACTCCTCTCGAGCGAGACGGGTCGAAGATGAAGCTCATCCGAAGTTCATCCACGCCTCGATGAAGACACGACGCCGGAAAGCACGGTAATCCCTTTTCCCCCCCTGAAATTCACCCCTCGACATTCGACACGGAACGTACGAGACATCATTCGGGAGACGAGATCTAATTCATGCCGGTGGTTTCGTTCGAGACCGGGCGTGTCTCGGTCGACGAGAGGTCGAAGAGTTCAGTTCCCACGTCCATCTGACATGGATCCTCGTGACACGAATCCGTTCCCTGCGTTCCACGGACGTGACAAGGATGAAGAAAACTCGGACTGATTCCATGCTCACCTCGTGTTCCTGCTTTCGTCCCGTGCCGATCCAGCCCCGAACCGTTCGATCCACGAGTGAAGTGGAGGATGGAGGATGGAGGATGGAGGATGGAGGATGGAGGATGTCCACCTTCCATTCCGTTCGCGACTCAATTGGGCGTTATGCTTCGGTCCATCGAGTCTCTTTCGATCGCACGATTGGACCATATGCCGTGAGGAATATCGCACCTCTCTCGACGTGTGCCTTGGAAAAAAAGTCGGAGGAATCGGTCCGTCGCGTTCGATCGCGACGGATTACCGTCAGCCTTTTTATTTTCTTAACGACCGTGGAAACCAGACCTGCAGACGAACCGTTACCGTTATCGGTTACCGTTCGTTCGCGGGAGCGGCGTCGCCGGCGATGCGGCCACGTGGAGTCCGCTCGTCGCACTCGAGGGCGAGACGAGACGGCACGCTCCGAATCGCCGTTTCGAGTCGAAGGACGCGGGGAACCGGCTGCAGTTTTCCGATGGGGGTCGCGCTCCGAATCGAGTCGAAACGATCGTCGCGACGGCAGGTTTCCACGAGACGTGGAGACGCGTCGCGACCGGACGCGAACGCGTCCCGAAAAATGCCTGCAGACCTCATCGTCTGCGTTTCCGCGCTCGTCGGAGAGAGAACGGAGGACGAGAGACCAGTTTCCATCATCTCGCCTCGCCTCTTTTCTCTCGAGACGATGAAACAAAGGCGAGAGCAAAAGCCACCGTCGGTCTTCCGTAAAAGAAGAAAAAAGCTGGGATTAAATGCAAAACCGGATTCGGGCGGGTCACGAGACGCAAATAACAGCGACACGGTTGCCCGTGGCAGAGACGGCCGTGGCACGATTGCCCGTGGCGGAGACGGCCGTGGCACAGTTCCCCATCTGGATCTCATATTTGCATCGTTTGCCACGAGGCGGAAAGCGTCGATAGGGATCCATCGCGATCGTCGCGATCGTCCGTCGCGATTTCGCCGAAAGACGACCGTGTCGCCTTTTCCTTCTCGATCGTTCGACGAAACGATTTCGGACCGGACGTCGCAGACGCAGCCGAGGATCCATTTCAGGTAGCGAGGACCGAGATGGAACGAGACGAAACGAGATGAAATGAGGTGAAATGAGAGCCTCGACGTGCTCGGACTGCCCGATGACGCGATCCGGAGCCCCGAAATCGATCACTCGAGCCGAATTTCGACTCGATATACGAGGATAAACTCGACGATGAGCCGTCGGAAGAGAAGGGGATTAGAGAAGGAGATTAGAGAAGGGGAATAGAGAAGGGGATGAAAGATGATTCCCTTCCGGCATGGCCTCGTCTCCGACAGTGAATAATGCATCGGACCCCGCGAGTAATTACGGGGAATCCGAATTCCGACCGCATTCCGAGGATCGTCTCCGCGATCGTCCGCGGAACGGAACGGCGGATCCGCGGTCTAAAAGTCGCGAGATTCCTCGAGGTTCCTCCGGGATTCCTCGAGGTTCCTCCGGGACTCCTCGAGGTTCCCCTTTCGGTCCCGAATTTCCGAAACCGGTTTCCTGTGTCCTCGCAGATCGTCATCGTCGGGATCGTCAAGGCATCTCAAAGCGACTTGGATCCCATTAAATGAGGAGACGATGCATCGACGAGACGAACGAGCGAAGAAAGTCTCGGAAAGTGACTCCAAGAGTCTGGAAAAAGTCTTGCCTGACTCCAAATGGCTCCAAAAACAGGAATCGGCGGAATTTGGGGTGCGATTGGATTCGCGCTCGAACGATGAACGGCAAGCGAGGACACCGTGGCCACATCTCGAAGGTGGCCACATCTCGAAGGTGGTCTCATCTACGTTCGGCTTCCATTTAATTTCTCTCTGCTTCCAACGGTTTGGAGTCGGTTCCGCTTTTCCACGTTTCCCGAGTCAAACATGAAAATAAGAAAGAGAAAAGCGAAATGCGTCTTCGGAAAAAGAGAGAGAGAGAAAAAGGAAAGAAAGGAAATCGGAACGTTACGTGGACGTTATCTCACGCCCGTCAGACGGCTGCCATCGAGTTCGGTTTCCACTTCGCTTGGCCCCAAATGCAAATGCATTCACGAGAACGCGTTTTGACGTGACATCGCTATCGGGCTCCATCTTCTCGGCAACCTCTCGCGTCGGATGAATGGCAACTTTTCGCGTCGCGAAAAACGAAAGTCATCGACTGCAAGTATGGCTTTTCCGAGTGTGGCACGAGAACAAAATGCCAGCCGATACGAAAATTCCATTCGTCCTGCACGGGGTGAAGAGCGACTGGAGGAAAGCCGAGCGTGGCAACCGATGGCAACCGGGGGCAACCCCTGTCGAACGATTCTCCCGACGCGTCGGGATGGACGAGGGGGAGTCGAACGAAAGCAGGATATCGAAGGAAATGACCTTTAAAAGTGATCGCGTTGAACGAATGCATGGCTTTTCGAGCCGGTCCCTCCGTCCCTCCGCTCGTCGATGCATTTCGATACGAAACGAGCCTTTCGCCCGCGAGGAACGCGGTTCGTCGCGCGCGGAACCGGCGAGACTGACTCCTCCGCGCGAGCGGGACGGTCTTCGCCGTTCGTCGCTTGCCGCCCCGAGAAGAATTGCGTTGCCGTCGACGGATCGTCGAACGCGTCGCTTCCTCGGTGCGCTCCGTACCTGCTGCCGACGTCTTTAACGTTGCGTGCATCATCCGAATTGCGAGTTTTCGCGGCGAAGCCGTTCGACCGAACGCTACAGAGTACGATTTACGTCGTGCGAACGATTTTTACCATCGCGTCGTAAACGTGATGGTAAAAATGATCGTGGCCACCCCCGACTGGTGATGGTGGCCATTCCCTGACTCGGTCGCTCCATCGAGATCGAAAATCCGCACTTAGCTCTCTGCCAGGAGTTGCTTCGTGAAAACGGCGAAGGATGAGATAGGAAACTCTTTCGCCCTTTCTTTCCGGTGACCCTCGAAGCCAGTGGCGTAGCCAGGGTGGAGCCAAAGGTGGAGCCGAGAGGAACAAAGGATCTCTACCGCTGGGGATCGTTCTATAAAACGAGTGGTGAACTTTAGATCGTAACGACTGCGGAATGGCTCGATGGATTAGGTCCATCTTTTGCTCTATCCAACCTGAAAAGCATCAAGTTTTATTCCAGAAGACGTTCCACGTCCACGAGTGAGCCCAGATCCCTCCGCATCCTCCACCCTGCCCGATCCCACGAACCTCCCCATCGCAGAGGCCAACGCAGGACTCCGTTTCCGCACGAGAGAGACATTCGTTACGGGTCGTCCATGTCCATAGCACCGGCGAACGATCGGAGCGCATAGTGCCTTGCAGGGCTGCAGAGACATCCGGTGGAAACCGAGCGAAGCTTCCAAACAGAAACGAATCCGATCCCTGGGCCTTCCACTTATTTTTTTTTTAGGCCAGTCTCTGCCTGTCTCTGTTTGTTCTCCCTCCTTTGAGTAGTTCAACAGTGTTTATTATTCGACATGAGATAAGACACTTGTTGGCAAGCGCTATTGGCGAGTCCGTGAGACTCATCGCCCCTTGATCTCAAAGCGTCATCACTGTCTCCCTTTTAAAAATAGGAATCCAGATTAGATTTATTTATTTAGAAGTTAGGACTTCAACTCACGGTTCCTTCGCTGCTGCGGTTTTTCAGATCCGAAGTCTCTCCCATGTCTAACGCAACTGAGCCCAATAATGCACAGCTGGCTTCTAGCTTCCATTAGACGATGGGATAGATAATCCCATGAGGGGGGTTATCCATCCTGTTATCGTTGGGGCCAGCACCCTTCATCCATTGCTGATGTCTTAAGGAAGAAAGGCTCCGGAGATTTTACGACAAGAATTTTACGACTCCTTAATTATTCATTCTCTTTACGAGGACAGTGTTTACTTCCCACGGCCCCACAGGGTAGTCTATTCCTATAGACGACAGGAGTTCAGTTGCTCGCTCTTATGCTCGGGTTCCTGTATAACATATTAGAGGAGGTATATAGGACTGCCAGAGGCAATTCAAACCAATGCACGCTAGAAGCGAAGAAGAAATAGAAAGACAGCATGGACAGGGTTCCGTTCAGGACTTAGGTTATAATAATGAATGCAGAAAAGTTTCGTATTCCCCGGATTTATTTTTTCTGGGAGCCAGCCTACTACTGATCTACTTTGATCCATTGCGGAGGCGAGCGAAGCCGGTATTCTGTCACTTGACCGTGGGAGGCAAGGGGGAAATGCCACGTTGGAACTCCACGAGTTACTCGCTTACGTCATCTACTTCCCAATATGGCCGCTCGCAGGGAAGCTGGCCTGGTAGTCCGGCTTCATTGCAAAGGCCGGGAGATGTTCTGGCATGATTAAGATATTGCGTTTCAGAGTAGCCATTCTGTTAGGTTAAGCCTATGAGCTGTATCCTGATCAGCCAGGCTAAGCCTTGGCTCGGGTTAAGTATAGGGTAATGCCATAGCGAGCACGTACAAATATTGTAACTCCTTCCAGGTTGCAGCCATGATTATGATGTTTCTTGAACTCTGGCAATCATCTGCTGCCAGACCGAAATTCCACAACGAAAAATAATAAGCCTAATCTCAAAGAAACTTTAGCCCGCGTGCATCTGTCGTAGGTTGGCTTCGAATCTAACGAGACTGTGTTAAGCCTACACTCGACGGGGTCTGGTGGAAGACAGGCCAACCTTCATTTCAAGGAGAATTTAAAGATCAGTCCTCTTGGCATCAGCTGAATGAGTGATTGAAATTCTCCATAAACCGGCTTAACCAAGGCAACAGCGTGCCATCATTAGATCATCATTTGAGGCGTCTTCAGAAGTGTGAAGATGAAGATCAAGGAAGTGGACAGAACTGCAAATATTGCCTGGTCCCCAGTGAACCAGTACCCAATTTATTTAGCTGCAGGGACGGCAGCTCAGCAACTAGATGCTACCTTCAACACGTCTGCATCATTGGAGATTTTTGAGCTCAATCTGAATGAAAGCAGCTCGGAAATATCAGTTAAAGCATCTCTGAATTGTGATTCACGGTGAGTGTGGTCTGCCTAGACTGAGCCTACCAATATGTTCAACTGTTTATGCTAATTTCCACATTTTGCTTTTTTCCAGATTTCACCACTTGGTGTGGTCCTCCTATTCAAAAGCAGGCTCTACTGGTAATGGTGTCCTTGTTGGAGGAGGTGACCGAGGTCAAATTCTAATATATGATGTTGGAAAAATCCTCAGTGGCCAAGGTGGGCTCATTATGCAACAGGAGAAGCATACTGGCCCTGTCACTGCACTGGATTTCAATTGCTTTCAGGTTTGCATTTCCTTAGACAGGTTTACTTGATATAAGCTTACCTTCTTCCAATTGAGTTGGCACTCATCCTGACACTCCTAATGCCAAATACTAATGCTTCTGGGAGACAATTACTTCCACTGGTGCAGTTCCATTCCAATCTTAACCCTCACTTCCTCTCAGCTTTAAAATTACAAAATATTCTCTTGGGTATTTTTTGACCCCAGCATATTTCTGAGCACTTTAATGAATAATTTCACAGCTGAAATTTATTTACAGTCCATAAAACCCTGAAAGTAAAATTATTTTGATTAATTTCTGAAGAAATTGTTTGAGGAATGGGATCATAAAAGACTCCAGAGTGGAAGCAAGGGTTAATTTTCCCTGGAGAGATAATGTGTTATATGCAGTGTTTCAAATTCCTGATCTTATTCTTAATTATTGCACCAATCTTTTGTGCAAGTGACCATACTAGAAAACTTACTGGGGTATACCATTTTATGCAGTGATGGTGAGGTACCAAACAGTGTTTGATGTTTTTCTTGTACAGACGAACTTGTTGGCTTCAGGAGCCAGCAACTCAGAGTTGTACATATGGGACTTGGCATCACCTGGAGCTCCTATGAGTCCGGGAGCAAAGGCCCAGCCACCTGAGCCTGTCCAATATCTGGCTTGGAATAGACAAGTGCAACACATCCTTGCTTCTGCATTTCCTGGTCGAGCCATCATCTGGGATTTGAGAAAAAATGAACCCATAATCAAAGTGTCTGATTCTGCCACTAGGGTCAGTCACTCTCTTATGTTGCATTATGTCATATGGCATCCATGATTACTCTGAGATCCATTTAATCTTTGATGGCATTGTGGAATTATTTGATTTGCAGTTGAGAGTAAAGTGCTTGGCTTGGCATCCAGAAGTAGCAACTCAGTTGTGTTTGGCTTCTGAAGATGACAATCATCCTCTTATAGAGCTCTGGGACCTTCGCTTTGCCACTGCTCCCTTGAAGACTTTCCATGGGCATTCAAGGTGCAACTTTCTTTTCTCTTTTTTTGCTTGGGGATTTAACCTACCCAAAACTAATGGCAAGGGTTGAGGAACTGTTATTTGGTTTTGTGTGAGATTTTAGAAGTTGCATGTATAAAAAGATATATTTGAAAATTCAAAAAGTATTTGTTTCTCAAGGAATTATAGCTATTTCTCAGCCCAATATATGTCTTTATGGTTAGGCATTATGTCTCATCAGGTATGTATGGAACATTCTGTCCATTTACTGTTTGTCATTTCCAATCCAGGGGTGTGTTGTCCTTGTCATGGTGCCCTCATGATCCTGACCTCCTCTTGAGCACTGGGAAAGACAACCGTATCCTCTGCTGGAATCCCAATGCTACACAGACTGTTAGTCCTTTCATACTGTCATCATACTTTCAATCAGTCATTGCTTTTCTAAGCTGTTCTTGCTAATGAAAGAGAATCATAATATTTTTAAAATAAAAACTTGTTTGCATACTGGTAAGTTGTGTATCTCTGTATGGTGTTAGGATCAGGAGTTGGTGTGTGAGGTGCCCAGCACTTCCCAATGGTGTTTCCAACTATTATGGTGTCCCCGGAACCCAGCATTAGTGGCCTCTGCTAGTTTTGATGGGCATGTCTCCATTTACTCCCTTATGGGAGGTCAACAAATCTCAACTCCCCCTAACAAGGTGAGCTAATGATCACATTTGCCTGCAGCCAAGATCATATCTTGTTCTTGGACTCTATGGGAAATGATTGCTCAATTCACTTACAATAGGAATTTGATTTCTTTATGGTGATGACTTTTAGAACAACGTTTTACCAATCACCTCTAAACAAGATCCATGTTCCTACATCCTTATATACACAGTATGCCTTAATTCAACTGTGCTGTCACAAACTAATTGACCCTGAGAGATGGATGAAGTCAAGATTACAGAGCTTCCACATTACCTTCATGAAAGCTGTGTGGTTTTGCAAACAGTATGTTTAAGCTGTGCAGCCAGTGGGTGTACTTTGTGTGTGGTAGTAGCTGAGGCCTGCCAAAGGAGAAGATGAAGAGTGCTTCAATTCAGTCATTTCTTTTCTACAGCAGTGTATAATTTGGTGTGATCATGTTTAAATGAAGACCCATTTGCCCTGAAATTCATTGTCTAGAACATAGGGATTTAAACATTTTCTCTTAACAAGTTCTTGTTTCCTTAATTTCAGATTGCTGAATCCTTCCCAGGGATGTCGTCTTTTTCAACTCCAGCTCCTCCTGCTCCACAACAAAAACCTGTCATTTTGCGTAATGCTCCCAAGTGGCTTCAACAACCTTGTGGCTCTTCTTTTGCTGTAAGCTCCAGCATCCTCTCAAAATAACAAGAAATGGCACAGCCACCAGTTATTACTTAAATTTTCCATGACACTTAAAACAGGCACATAGTTGCAAAGATGGTCAGTTTTTTAACTTAATGGGTCTATTTCCAAACACTATCCTTACATGGAAGAAGACATGGGTCAGTTTTGCAGGAGGTAACACACCTTCCCCCATTGATTCTCATGATTACCCAAAAAAGCCTAGAGTTTAACACTAGGCTTGGTCCTACACTTATCAGTGAATCAAAGCCCAACTATGATGAGTATGACTTTCCAGAAAAGGGCATGAATGTATACCCAATTTTCAAGACTTTATGATGTTCCCACTAGAAGGAAGTTTGTGCTATGTCCTCAGGACCTTGAGGTTGAATGGTCTCACAGCCTGGCCTGTGTTTCCTGAGACAGTTATAGCTTAGGTTGGCTGTCCTGCTTTAAGCCTAACCTGAACTTAAGATATAAAATTAATTCTTACCATAAGTGGCAAACCCAAAATAAGCCACTTGTGGCCCCTACCCTGGTGGAGGACTTGATCATGTAGAAGACAAAAATCAGAAGGTTGGTCATAGTGTAGGTGCTTCACAAATTTTTGGAAATGCATGAACATGAAGATATTTTAATGAACTAGTTAAAGGGCTAAGCTTGGATAGTTGCAATAATATATGTAGCCTTTACTTATGAATTGTCAATATGTCATACTGGTTTGAATTTTTCTGTTTTAAATTAAACTAGGAAGTCATGGATATTAGTGATCTTATTCCAAGCTAAGTAGCTAAATGGCTACCAGTTTTTTGGGTTATTCATTTAATAGTACTGCTAGATGCCTTGTACTTTCATCAGGTTATTTTATGCATCTGATCTTGTTCATTCTTGCTTTCCTTGGAAAATAAACGTGTTTCTCTGGTGCAGTTTGGAGGGAAGCTGGTGACATGGGAGAAGGGGTCAACTAGTGTGAAGGTTCAGCAAGTGAGGAGTGAGCACGAAGTGGTGGGGAGAGCTGAGGAACTGGAGGAAGCCTTGCAATCTGGTGGGGAAGCAGTACAAGCACTATGTGAGAAGCGCCGTCTTGCTGCTTCTTCCCATCCCCATATTCTCCAGGTCTTTATTCTTGTTTATGTTTCTCAATTTTTAATGTCATGTTTCTTCTTTCCCATTCAGACTTATTCCTGGCTTTAAATACTTAACATTGCACCGCAAGTGTATATCGAAAGTATGATCAGTTGATTTGAAAACATGCTTCAAATAGAAATACATGCTGGGTGTCCCAACAACCCAATCTGAAGTGACATGTATATTGCAGATGCTTTGGAATCTGGCTAGTACCACTCTAGTTGTATGACTGTGAACACCTGTTAAAGTTGAAGAAGTCAACCAAAGCAATTGGTTGTTATATCTGAAAATAAAAAAACTATTAAACATCTTGTAATATATATTATAAGGAACATGTGGAGTATGGTACTCATGTTGAACTTATGAATTAATCTCATGAATTGAGTTGACAGATTTAAGTTCTGTGATTCATGGAGAGACTGCATAATTCATAGTTCAATACATTATCCTAAATTGAGAGTCATTCCCTTTCTTCTTATCTGAAAATAGGCTTGGGAGTTTCTTAAGGCACGGTTGGAAGAGAAATCCTCTCAAGCACTCCTCACTCTTCTTGGGTATGAGCCACCAAAACCAAAGGTGAGGTAAGCTCTGTGGCTTCAGGGACTGTCTGGTATATGTACTCTGTGGATGAAATGCATTGAGATTGTTGGTGATTATAGAGTATGGCATGACCAATATTCTGCAACAAGCCAGGAATAAAAAAAATGGACCAAAGTTTCTGTGGATCAAAAATGGTTAAAGAATGTTTTTTGTTTTTTCATAGTTTGAAAACTGGCAGTCCATTACAATACAAGGGAAAAATTAACTATCTCTAAGCAATAAAACTTGGATTAACATAAACATGACCAAGCACAGGATCAGACGTATGTGGGTGCAGCAGCATTCTAAACACCATCACATGCCAACATTCCAGGTGCAATGCCTTTATACACCTTTGATGGAGTTTTTCATCTAAAATTTCTGACTTTTTGCAGAATACTGGTTATAACTTTGATGTGAATAGTTGGAATTCGACCAATTTTTCTAATAGAGAAGGAAGAAGGCAAGTTACATTTCCACCCAATTAAGTGAGGTTTGATAAAAACACTTCTGAGAAACAGTGGCTTGAAGTCATTGGACTGTTTTGGTATATTGTATATTCAGTGGCATGCACTGATGGCAGCAGTGGTAGTTCTGGAAGTCTATAAGTTGATTAAAAGCTATAGTTTGCTTAGGAATGCAAGCATTTGTTTCTATTCTTGCTTAGAAGATGGTAGAACTAGATTATCCTTATTTTCTGTTCTGGTGACTCCTCTGTACATACTAGCTCCTTGCAGTTAAAGACCATAGCATAAGTGGCACAGCTGAGTTTACCCTTTATTTTTTCTTCGTTGAAGGGTGAGATGACAGGAATGAGAGATGGGCCAGGTAATGAAGCACATGCATCAGACCTCAATGATCATATTGGTGCCTTGGATCTCAAGGTAAGGCCTTGTAGTTCCTATTGAGAATGTATTTTGCTTCTTAGTGTGTGATTGTCATCTTGCAAAGATATTGGAAATGCTAGTAGCACCAACATTATTATTATGTGACAACTTGGCATGTCAACAAGACCAAATTAGTTCTGATAGGTTCTGAACCCTTGTGTTGTGTTTCATCAAGGCCTGAGTCTCTGTGCCTCATAAACACTTAGTGCATTGTACAGATGTGACTGCATTTGTGAATGCACCTATGATCAACAGTGTATTCAGCATGATGTACAAGGCCCAGTCAAAAAGTTCATGGAATGATTTTGTGAAAAATAAAGAGATAGTAGTGATTGAACGTGCTTTGCACTAAAATTTACCTGGATCCATCCTATCCCCTCCCTAAATGCACACACAGTCACATGATTTGACTGAACACTCACTCCATCAAAGCTGGTTAGTACTACAGGGTTGACCAAAAAAAAGTAAGCCACTCAAAGTTTTGCTATTATGGATTTTATACCCATACTTTTAAATGGATTGAAAAAAAAATTTACTAATATTTTTTCAAGAACTTCATAATTTTAATGTGGCTACAACTACCCATTCTTGAATTATGGCAGATTTTGTCTAAATGTAAAAATTCTGTGTAAAGAGTCATGCAGCAGCTGTTGCAAGGCACAAATTCACATTTGATTTTTATTTCAAAATGTTGTTCCTGTGGACAGATCCAGGTGAAAATTTAACAGGACATTGGGAAATGTGTTTTTCACCATCTGAAAATTTCATGCTCGTGCATGAATTTTCAAAAGTCCAAGAGTTCAAAACTGCCTGTTCATTCAGAAGTTTGACCATTTTGACAAAACCTGCCATGCAAATATGGGTAGCTGCAGGCACATGAAATTTTAACAGTTCTTGAGAAACATATTAGGCAATGTTAAATTAAATTTTCAAGTCAATCAGTTTAAAAGTATGGATTTTAGCAAAACTTGGAGGGGCTTACTTTTTTTTTTGCCCAATCCTGCAGCACTAACTGGCTTTCATTGAGTGAGTGTTCAGTCAAATCATGTAACTGTGTGTGCATTTAGAGAGGGGATGAGAATGATTCAAGGTTAATTTTAGCACAAAGCACCTTGCATATAGTAAACTGAACTGAAGAGTAGTCCATAGCTGACATTTGGAACCCCTTTGATCATACGAGGCTATTCAGCATGACTACTCCCCATCAAAGTAGATCTGCTCTCTTTACCATAATTTACAATATCAAGCTGATAAAGTTTGATTTACTGTGGCAACACCCAAACTTGGTCTTGGTTTGCCCAGGAGAATGGATTCGTTGGCGAGGGAGATGACAAGTTGGAAGAAAATGTGTTTGACACCATAGCAGCCCAAGTCACTTCCCCTCCTGTTCCATTCACCATTGACACCCATGGTCTGGTCCTGCATGTTCATTTCACCCCCCTCACTCTGCCACACAATCATCAGGAAATGGGTCACAGGTGAACTCATCTTATGTATGGATGCAGGTGGTGGAAGTGGGGAGCTGAGCTTGGCCTTGGTCAAGGGGGACTTGCAAGAAGCAGTGTCCTTATGCTTGAAAGGAGGTCATACATCTGAGGCACTTCTTCTTGCCATGGCTGCTGGAGGAGATCTCCTGGAACGCACTCAAACTCACATCCTTCAGGTAGTCTGGCATGACATAACATAACATTACCCAATCATTAGGGCTGCCAAATAATGCACTCCCAATCCAGTCCATCTTGAGCTATTTATTTGAATGATCAGTTGAATTAAATATTCAGTTTGCTGATAATCTTTCCCAAAGTGCGGTGATGGAAGCACAAGCTCAGAATGGAGTCTTATCATGTATCTGTCATGGACAACATCATTTGACTCCATCCCATCCAGTCATTTTTAAGTTTCACTATCTACCACCCATAGAAGGTGAGAGTTGTAAAAATGTTGAACCTAAACTAATCCTCATGAACATTTTCTTATCACTTGAAATTTTCGGCGATTCTCTATTTAGTTGATAAATCTATTTTGTTTGTTAGTGCAGCCCTTGTGATCATGGATTAAAGATTAGATTAACAAACAATCTATTCAGTCAGCTGCTTGCATCATTAGGCCTTTACTTTATTGGCATGTTTAGGGCTTGAAGAGTGAAAGCCGACCATTGATTCGAGCTGTGGTGTTGGGTGAGTGGGATAGTGTGATGAGGAACTGCATGTTGGAGTCTTGGAAAGAGGCACTTGCTGCAGCACTCACATATGCCAAGAATGGACCCAGCCTCATGTCCCTCTGCCGTAAGTCATCATACAGGGTGTTCCATAAGTCACTATACCATTTCAAAAAATCACATTTACTAAATAGTTGATGTAAAAAAGAAGTAACATTAACTGAACAATGGAATGTCATTTGGAATTATCTTTGTGAAAAAATAGAGATATTTCTCAGTTTTGCAAATGCTTCAAAATGTCCTTCACTTATATCAATACATTTGGCACGAGGCTTCGCACCAAAAAATCACTGCACTCCCTTTGAACTCTGATGGGACTCTCAAAGACCTCTATCCAGGTTGCAACTTTATCTTGTTGCTCCAGTGTCAATTGCATAGCCTTTTCTCATGACAGCAAAATCAAGTTATATAAAATAATATTTTTCGGCTTCTCAAGTCTATCTGAAATTAGGAGAGAAAAGCATAAAGTTTAGCAGTTTTGTAGAGGAGGATTCAACAAGGTGTACCAAAATGTCCCTAAATAAATACACCTCTCTGATATGCATTTGAAGCTATCTCCGTTTGAGTCTGATTCTGATTCATTATTGTGAGAAAAAAATTATAAATATAATTCTTTCTATTAATGCTAACAACAGTGACCTGCTTGTTTCAGTTTGGAAAATATGCAGTTTGAAATGGTATAATGACTAATGGGACACCCTGTTTTGTTTTCTTCCAATTATGATGCTACTCTCCATATGCCTTTATCAACCAACCACTGTCTCCTGCTTGATAACTTGTCTATTCGCCCAGTGAATGTATGCTGTGTGGGAGATCTCTTAGACCCTAATTCATAGAAGAAAGTTTTTCCATCTGATTGCTCTTTCCATCATTTCCATCTGCATTGTGTTTTATAGAGATTCTTGGGGATCGGCTACAGAATGAAGGGAAATTGGGGGAGGCAATGGCATGCTACATCTCAGCTGGGGGTTTACCTACTCTCACATCGTCTTTTGGGGCTGACTCCTTGCAAGACATTGTGGAGATGGCTGTCCTGCTCCAGCAGAATGCAACTGGCTCAGGAATGCCACCTGATGACCCGGCCTTGAACAAGTACTTTGAACAATATGCTCAGATCCTCTGCTCCCAGGGACAACTCCAACTTGCTTACAAGTACTTGGCAAACAGCACTCAGGTAAGGTTTGCTTCAGGTTGGTGTGTACCAGTAGCAGAATTAGACCAAAGGTTCAATTATCTATTCTGAAACTATACTGTCAGCTAGTGCTGGCATTGATTTGAGGCAAACAGAGGGAAAAAACCAAAAAGTATGTCATTTTCATTCAAATATTATGCATTGTGTTCAACTTTTTTTAGTGTGGCTGATGGGTGATTTATGGTATTACCTTTCTAACCATTTTTACATGAGAGAGCCCAGAAACATGAATTTTCATCAAAAAGTCTGGTAGGATGCACATTGGCACTCTAAGGTGCAGTCACAGCCTGAGAGAGTGACTCAAGCTATGTATGAAATGCATTGATTTTCACCTGGAAGAGGCTGGAAACTCGTTTAGACCTATTTTTCAGGTGGCAGACTATACATTTCAGCGAACACACTTTCACTGAATTCATCAAAATGTTCAACTTTGTTTTATATTGACTCATTCAAATTTTTAAGTCCATGAACTTGTATGCATGGCAGAGGAGTGTCAAATGTGAATATTGCTGGTGATTGCTTCAAGAAGTCAAGAGTGGGTCTCACACTATATTCCTGTGATCCTCTTCAGTTGCTTGTCCTTTTCTTCAAGAAGCCTCTGAGGTTTCTTAGTTGGGGTCCCAACTGCATGTTGAGCAATTTCTTTGTCTGTCCTGGCAAGCTCTTTTCCAATCACATCCATGAACCTGTACATTGTTGGATGGTTCTTGGATGCAACATCTGCCTTTCAATGAAGCTTTGACAGAATTGATCAATCTGAGCTTCATTTGGCAGGGCACAATTGCAAACGTTCCATAGAGCTAAGAGCTTGTCCTCTAAGTCTCCCTATTGGGCACCTCCCATTGATGTAACTTTCCCTGATGTATGGCTGATGCTTCCTTGATTGATGGAGAAAGTGATATCCTCGCCATTTGCTCTGTTTCCCTATGCTAACTACTCCCTGTGTTTTGGTGAATGTTAAGAGTATTCTGTGAACCTTCCATTTCAGTGAATTGATGTCATTGAGGAATGGTAATTTGGAGAGTCAATCATTCGGAAAATCAGCCATTAGGCAAATCGACCCTTTGGCCAGAACAACCATTTAAAGAAATAGACTTCAGTGGATAGTTATAGACCTCTAATTTTTCCATGGAAAAGAGACCAGAAGTTCAATAACATGTTCAATGCCATCATGCAATACAGATCTAGGCATACCAAACCTTTTATTTACAATATGTATATTGTTGCTTTAGAGCTGTTGGAAACTCATACTTCTTAATGGAAGTGAGAGTTGTACTGGTTTAGAATATGTTTATGCATCCATGTGTTTCTTTTTGGGGGGGCATCCACACGAACATCATGAAAACTTTATAGCAAATGGTGTCATATATGCCTGATACCAATGGTTGCAGATGCATGGGGACAGCCGTACTTAAATGTGATCGATGTTCTTGCTCAATTATTTGAATTTCTGATTGCTGTGTTTATTGCAGCATTCAAACATTAGAGGCAATAAAGCATCCATTGAATGGACTGTATAAACTATTTTGCCTCTAAAAAAAATTGTTATAGAACCTGATGGTAATCATGTTCTCATTTTCCTTCCCATCCACATAGCCGAAGTTGGTTTTGATGAGGGAGAGGTTGAGTGTGGCACTGGGAATGGTGACACAGCAGCCTCAATCCAGGGCAGTAGAGAAGAGAGGAAGTATTGGCCGTGTTCGTACATACTCTTCCTCCTCCACCTCATCCTATTATCAATCAATGGGTGTTGATTCTTATTATCAACCTCCCCCTGCTTCAGCTTCAGTTTCCTCCACTGCTCCACCTCCTGCATCTTTGCACCAGGTTCCTGACATTCTGCATCTGAGTAGGTGATGTGCATTGAGCAGTGAAGCCAACAAAATAAAGTTGACTTTAAAAGACCAGTAGACATAGTGATAGTTACACAAATGCTTAATTCGTATTTTCATCCTGTATGACTTAGAATTCCTTTTTTCTCATGACTTCCTGCTGATTTTTTTTCCACAGGGCATGAACCAGAGCCCAACTCCCACTCATTCTGCTGGGACTTCCAAACCTCAGATCAAAGGTGTGTTTTCTGGTTTATTTGCATTTTTGTACTAACACTACTGTGACTGGATTTGTTTGCTTCTTTCAAGTTGTTAAAAGTCAATCCCTAACATTCTTGAAAATTGCAGTATAGTTCTTGTGAGAGCAATCAAAGAGACCCATGACAAGGACATTGTGATAATCCTATCAAGGTGCTCCATTTGTGGCGGACCCAAGTGTGAGCTTCCAGTCGTCATATAATGCATATGCACCTCAGGCAGTGCCAGGCAGTCTTGGGACATACCCAGGTCCAACTGGAGGAACATGGGGAGGGAGCTTGAATGCCACTGGTTCTACCCAGGGACAGCATCCTATTCCCCCCAATCCTGGCTTCATTCCTCCTCCTTCAGCCACTGCAACATACTCAGGTTAATCTCGCCACTCTACATCCAGTAATTGTCATGATTACCTCCTTTTTCTTCCAAGCTCCAGGAATGAAAATATGTTTTTACATTGGCTTTTGTGCTTTCCCTAAGCTCCAAAGTATTATTTATGTTGTACATGAAAGTGCTGGAATTTACTTGCACTATGAATGACTGTTAAAACTGTTCACAAAATTTGCTGCTGACTTACATGTTCTGTTCATGAAAGTTAAACCTTATTATTTGCAGTAAAATTTCCAAGGAAATGTTATAAACTTGTTAATAGCTCTAAACCTAAACATCCCATGCACTCATGAATGAGTCAGTTATTCAGCTTCAGACCCCAGAAACAGGAAGTCTTTTGGTGAATTTGTTTGACAAAGTTACAATAAATCAAGTGATTGCAACTGAGAGGTTGAGTATTTTGTGATGCCTGATAAATTTGTGATGCCTTTGTGATCTGATAGCTTGAGTATTTTGTGATGCAAATAGCTTGGAGCTACAATAGTTCTTCAGTAGTCACTGATGACATGCATGCAGGATATGGCATGGGAGGAGGAACTGGTCCAGGATCTCAGGCATCTCAACTCCCCTCTCTTACTCCTCCATCTTCAGCTTTGCCCTCTGTCACATCATCTTTTCACCCTCTTGCTTCAGGATGGAATGATCCTCCCACACTACGGACTCCGCAAAAACCGAAGGTTAGTCTCAACATTGTGCCCTGTTCTTTTGGTACATGACAGGATATTGCTCTGGAGCTCAATATGCAATTTACTGCATGGATACTTTTTTTTCATGGGTGTTTTTTTATGCAACCAAGATACTTGCATCAGAATTGAAGGTTTTGAGCTTCCATGTGAATATCCGATTAGAAGTGGTGAATCCCATCAGGCATGAGAATAAGAAGGGGTTATATAGTTACCCTGTTGTTGTCAAGCCCTGGAGTAGGTGAATACTGCAAATACATTAACTACTTCTATAGAAGTCTTGTATCTTACATAACTAAAACAACTTGACCTAGCTTTAATTTGCCTTATTGTTTTTTTTTTAGGTGTTATTTGTCCTGTAGCCAAAGTATGGGTTATCTCTGATGCCTTTCATGTCAAAAGTTTATAATATTATTAATCTCTTATTTAATTGTGATATTAATCAATTAAAAAAAGTGATTTTGCATTTTGTTCACGATTGTTAGATTTTGAGACTCATCCTGGATCCTGAATTGGAACTGCATGGTGGCTCTGTGTTTTGAGCTTGAATAGGCAGTTTTTTTTGTTCACACCATGCAATCGTTTTCATTGAATTGCTTCGTATGAAAGCAATAGATCTGAAATTTCTGGACACTTGGAGATACAAGGCAAAGCAGACCAAATATATACATTTAAAGTTTATTTAAAACAAGTCTGATTAAGAAAAAAATGCATTCTTAAACATAAACAAGAGAGAACACTCACTTTTTTTAAAGCATAGTTTTGCTTTTTTTTTTATGTAAATCTAGGACTACCCTGACTATTTTTCAGTGATCTACCACTGGATCTCTTTTATGGTAAGCATAATTATTTATATCACCTAAGAGCTGCAAGGTGTCCAACTCAACATATATATTCTTAATCTTAATAGGAAATAATTTAGAGTTTCTGCATCAAATGTGATTAGAGTGAGAGGATTCCAAATTTGCTTACACTTACTCCACCTTACTTTACAGAAAATTTTTGTTACTGTTCTGTTATACCTGTTCACAATTCTTCGTGCCAAAACTTTAGCTTTTCAAGAATGCTATAAACAAAATTCTAAAGTCCCTGTTGTACTACAGTACAGTCTGCAATTATATTAATGATGATGCTGAGGTATTTATTGGCAGACCCAGGGAAACACTGAGCCACCAACTCCAATCACAATGCCAGTGCTGCAGCCTCCAGGAACTCTTCCACCCCTCCCACCTGGTGCTCCAGGGTCAAACCCCATGATGCCAGGGATGGGGATGGGGATGGGGATGGGAATGGGAATGGGAATGGGAATAGGATCAGGAACAGGAATGGGAATGGGGACAGGGATGGGAATGCCTGTGGGTCCTGGCATTGGGGCTGTAGGGCCTCCCCCGTCTTTCAATGTGAGTCAGCCCAATGTGCTTCTTGTTTTCTTTCCTTTTCATTCCTTGCATTGTGGTTGTACTCTTGACCATTAGCAGCAAAGTACAGTGAGTGGGGTAAGCATGGGTCAAGAAGTGGTTCCTTCTTCAACACCTCCCCCACCAGTGGCACCCAATCCTGTTCCTTTCTCTGCCCCTACTCAGGCTCCTCCCAAACCCATCCCAGCTGAGCATCAAGTCCTTCATGATGTCCTTCAGGGACTCCTTGACCAGTGCCTTATTGTCACCACTCATCCTGTAAGTTCTCCCAAAGTTATTTCTTGTTTCCTCTGAGAGGAACATCTCAATGCAGAACTTTTTATCCATTCCCATTTTTATTCCGACTTAATTTTTTCTCAGCAAATGAAGCGAAAGCTGGATGATGTGCGAAAGAAACTGGAAATCTTGGATGAGAAACTTCGTAATGAAGAGGTCAGGAATCTCATGAAACTAGAGTCTAAGGCCTGAATGCTGAAACCTCCTTTAGTTTTTGGTCATTTAAAAATACATGGACTCCTTTGGGAGAAAAAGAGCTTTTTAGTTTAAAGACCCCTTTATTTCTTCGAAATGGGGTTTGTGCATTCAGGTCTAAATCTTCTTGATGTTAGCCGAGTTGACCTTCGTGTGAGACTTATTTTGGATTGATTCCAGCTTGGTCCAACAACATTGGAGGGGTTGCATCAACTGGTGGGAGGAGTCCGGACAGGCGATTACCCACAAGCCCTAGCCATTCATTCTCAACTTGTGGATTCAGGTTCCTTTGCCACTTTATCAGCCTTCATGCCTGGTCTCAAGAGCCTCCTCCAGGTTGCCCGTCAGATGGGCATCTACGTCCATTGAGATGTCTGTGCTTCATACGTTCATATGTTTGATGACCCCCCCAGAGTGCAGAGGGAAGAAAGGACCTCAACAGCCTTCATCTTTGGGAGCATTTGCTTCCATTGTGTCGACTTTCTGCCTTGCATATTGCAGCAGGTTACTGTATCTAGCCTATATCATATGCAAGTTTCCTCTCGTGATACAAATTAGGACTTGGGGATCTGTCCCAGTAAGTCTGAAAAACCAGGGGCCTTCAAGTTGCATAAAGTGCATGCAATTCACTTCCTCCTAGGGTCATCCCCATGATTGAATTCTGGTTATCTGCACAATTGGAGTCTATTTTAAAAATCTTATGAGATCTAGTACATCTGTTTAATGTATTTTCCCAGTTCTCCTTTTTCTCTCATTTGCTGCCTTCATTTATTTCCTTTTTCTCCAGATATTTATTTTTTCCTAAGCTCATGATGAGGTATGCATTTGCATGATTTGTGGTAATTGGGTTTTCAAGAGGAGGATTTTGGCTTCAAATAAAGTTATTTCCTGTTCACTTCTCTTGCTGTTCTCAGTGCAGTCGTATTTTCCTCTCTATCCCAGGTTAGAAGAGTAGAAAAGGTTGGGCCACATCCCAGCGGGGGGTGGAGCTCGAGAGCCAATGACGTCACTGGTATACACTCTCCTTGGCTGACTGATAAAATCTCATTTTCCCAGTCTATGGGCCCGTTCCTCGCCTCTGCTAAACTTAAATCTAAATCTAAATCTAAATTTTAGGCTAAAACTTAGTCTAAAGGGTCATGGTGAAGAATAGACTTTTTGCTTTTAGACTGCTTTTAGATTTATGTTTAGCAGAGGCGTGGAACAGGCCCTATTTCTCCTTTGTTAAAAATGTCATATCAGTTAGTTTCTTCTTGCCATATTACCTTGTACTTTGCGCCTCCATTCTATTGCGCTTGAACGATTGCATCTCTAGATGTGGCACTGGGAAAGGTTCATAGCATTCACAGATGCCGATCATGTGCAGTAGCCGCCTGCAAGAACATCTGATGATTTTAGTCTTGGTCGAGCGTTCGTAGCGTGAGGACGTGTTGGAGGATACTCTCGAGGTTCTGTCAGCTAAGTCGTGAGTTAGTTGTTACCTGGCTACTTTGTAGCAGTATTCATAAGTTTTTCTAATAGCTACCTCCAACTTCACATTAGATCAGTATCAATCAGCTTAATTACTTTAAGTATTAGCTCATTACTCGTAGTATTCCTTTTACTACAAGGACTAGGACAGTACAGTCTTACCGGGTTACAACTAGTGTGAAGTACTGCAAAGTATAAGTCTAAAGCAGTAGGAGTGTCAATAGGGATCAATAACATTAAGTAAGATGCCTAGGATGTGTAGATGCGTTCGTTGCGGGGATTGGGTAGGTGGGACTAGTGAACGAGAGGTATGCCAGGTATGCAGAGTCTGTAGCTTGGAGGAGCGACTAGGGGAGCTATCGGGAAGGCTCATTAGCGTGGAGGAGGAGATTAGGGGG